ATCCTACTTCCGTAGTGATACTGCCTCGGAAACCCAAGGAGGGGTCGCTATGAGTCGGGGCCGACTCGACGGCACATAACAACAACAACATCACACCAGCAAAGCTGGTCCTTTTTTTGTTTTTTTAATTTTGTTCCTCATTATTCTCCCTCTCTATCCAGGATCTCCTGCTAAATAAGGAATATTTTGCAATACATAGTAGAAAGACTACTCTGCACAGTTAGATACAAAATATTCCCTTAGACTTTCCTTCTCCACTAACCATATATATTATCAGTCTGTCTGTAGCACATCTATATAATCTTGGACAGATTTTTTCTGTTTCCTGTGATTCTCTCCTCTTCATAGAATCATACTTCTGACCCCAAAAGACCCTGGTTAAAAAAAAAAAAAAAAAAAAAAGTTTTTTTTTTTTTACTTAAGTTCTACTATTGCTATTGCTGTGGTAATGGCTATTTGGATATCATATAACTTTTTATTCCATATTAACTGATACGATGTCGAAGATTTGTATTCAGTGAAATAAAAGATATCACCTCACCCCTAAAACCGATCTGAACAAGTTAATTCAGAATCTACCAGCACACAGGCATTTGATTTTTTAAGGTTGGAATCTGGATTTATGCTGTGTCTTGATCATGAGACAAAAGAACGCTAACTACAATCATAACATACTTGTTTTTCCTCTCCTTCACAGGCCCACCAAGACTATCACTATGACCGATGGGGACTATGATTATCTGATCAAACTCCTGGCCCTTGGAGACTCCGGGGTGGGGAAGACGACATTTCTTTATAGATACACCGACAATAAATTCAATCCAAAATTCATCACAACAGTGGGAATAGACTTCCGGGAAAAACGTGTGGTGAGTTTTTAGCTGTAATGTTAATCCTGTTGCTGATAACCTCATATAAAATAAGAACTAAGAAGCTATGTGTCCCTTGAACTTTATGCTCTTCTAAGATCTATCTTTATGGGATCAAACAGCAACTGGAAAGATTAGATAGGAAGTTTCAGGGCAGTGAGTATATACATGTTAATGGGGGAGGAACAACTCAGAAAAGGAAGCTGAGAATGGTTGCATGACCCAAACAATGTAATCAATGTCACTGAATTTCACATTAGAAACTGTTGAATTGCTCTATGCTTTGCTGTATATATCCTCAACAGCAACAACAATGACAAAAATAAAATAAATGATTTTAAAAAGTAACTAGGTTTTTTGCTTTGCCAGGTGTCTCTCTTTTATCTGATGAAATTTATAATCTGTCTCTTTCATTTACTTTAGAATATATTTATTACTTCCTCAACTATAAATAACATGTTGCTTAGAAAATATTGAGTGGCACTATCTTTTCACTCCAAAAGTATACAGGGCAACTAAAATAAAAACCTTGTGTTTTCTATGAATTCTAAAGAAATCTTTTAAAACTTGAATTATTCAGAATCCAAGCACATTAACTCTTCGGTCGAGTTAGATGCCTCAATTAGAACCAGGGTTTGTTTCTCTGTTCTTGAGAAAACGATTGAAAAGCATGATTGACAAATAGCTGGAACGTGAGCTTTATAATTTCCTGCTGCATTTTTATTTATGTGTAGGCTCAGCCATCAATCACTGGTTTATTATGAACAGAATGTGAGACCAATCCATGCTACTTTCCAAGATAAGGGGCTTTAAGTGAGAATCACAACCACTTCCTTCTCCCACGCTAGACGGCAATGACAGGAATAAGGATAATTGTGACATGTGAGACGTGTAGCATAGGCACATAAGCTTAGCCAGATTGACTGCCACCCAAGGTATCTTTGATTGCCAGGATGTCTGTGGCTTCCAGTTGATGTCACAAAGCTACTCAATCCTTGAGATTTGGGACAGAAAACAAAAGAAATGGTGGTTGGAAGGGTATTATTATCTGAGAAGTTTGGTCATGATTCCTTATAATATCCTGCACCTTATCTGAAAGTCAATACCCTGTACCTCAGTCTTAGTAAACTTCCTTCCAACCCCTCCAAGAGTTTTCCTGCCACCTATCCCCCTCCTCCCCCATCCTTTCCACAGTCCCACTGATCCAAGTCCTTGCAAACTTTACACTTTGAAATAATTCCTCTAAACCATATTTTGGGGAAGCTGATTAAAAATTAAAATGGTTATGTTTAGCTTAAATAAAATACTGGAAAATCTGTAATTAAAAAAAATTATGTTTCTAAAAGAAGCCTTTGATTGTAAAAGAAGGTTTGATATGCCCTGTGCCAACTTACTGAGGAATTCTGTGCATATTTCATGGATAAGTCATTTTAAAACTCTATCTCTCAGTAAAATAAATCCAGTCCTTTTTAAAGCATTTTACTGGTAAGGGAGCTCTGGTGGCGTAGTGCTAAGACATTTGATTGCTAACCAGAAGGCCGGTGATTAAAACCCACCAGCCACTCCTCAGAGGGAAGACTGGGCAACCTACTTCCATAGTGATACCACCTCAGAAACCCAAGGAGGGGTCGCTATGAGTCAGATCCGACTAGATGGCAGTGAGGTTTTTTTTTTTTTTTTTTTTTGGTTTACTGGTAAAGACATCCTTATTTAAGTTTGCAGCAACTCTATGAAGTAGGAGGGGATATGGGTCTCAATTTACGGGTAAGACAATAAGACCCAAACAGGTTAAATGCAGAGTTGGTATTTGAACTTAGAACTTGGGTCCTAAATCTAATGTTTGCTGCCTCCATGAGGAAATGACAGAAGGTGTCTAATTTAAGTTTGCAGTATGCCTAAACTGTGTTGAAAATCATATTTGTACTTGACATTTCAAAGTGAGAGTATATGCAATACTACTGAAAAAGCAGAGCAAATATTTATTCTGCACTATGAACTTTGATTATAGTAATCGAGAAAAAACATGCCGAGTGAACCCAGAGAATTTGAATGTTAACACAATCCATAGCAGTATCAGCTGATGCAAATTGTCTGTTTCAGGTTTATAACACACAAGGCCCAAATGGATCTTCAGGGAAAGCTTTTAAGGTGCACCTTCAGCTTTGGGACACTGCAGGACAAGAACGGTAATTGTAAATTACATTGTTTCCAGCTGTACACATAGCCTAGAAAACCTTACTTTAAAATGAATGCTGTATATGAACTTGAGGACATTGCTGGCTCAGTGGCAGAAATCTCACCTTCCAGGTGGGAGACCTGGGCCAATGTACCACCTGTGCAGCTACCACCTGGCCATTCACTGGAGGCTTCCATGTTACTATGGTGCTGAATAGATTTCAATGGAGCTTCCAGACTAAGTGGCATAGTGGTTAAAGCATTTGACTGTTAACAAAAAGTTCAGTCAGTACTTCAAGCCAGCGACTCTGCTGCAGAAAGATGAGGCAGTCTGCTTCCATAAAGATTTACAGCCTTGGAAACCCTATGGGGCAGTTGTAGTCTGTCTTACAGGATCACTAGGAGTCAGAATCGACTTGATGGCAGTGAGTTTGGTTTGGGTTTTTGGCCTAGACTAAGACAGACTAGGAAGAAAGGTCTGGCAATCTGCTTCCAAAAATCAGCCAATGACAACAGTATGGATGACAATGGACAGATCAGCAGCCAATCACGGGCATCGTGCAGGATCAGGTGGCATTTCATTCTGTTGTGCACACATAACAACATGAGTTGGGGAGACTCAAAGGCAGCAAACAACAAGGCAAATATGAAAAACATAATTTGCCAGTTTTTCCTGTTTTGAAGTAGACATGTGTATCAAGAAAGAAATATAAACCATTTTCAGTTAATCTACTATAACTAGTGCTGAGTATTTGGCCTCCAGTTTTAATAATCAGCTTTTCAAAAATCTCTATGGAGTTTCTTGTTATATATTTCCTTTCCACTTTTGTAGTAGGAGAAAGTTCTCCAGCATTCAAGTGAATAAAGATGGGAGATTAACACTATTGTAAGTGCTGCTTTAATAGAGAGATGAAGGAAAGGGTGTTAAAACCATTCTCATCTCATTGCTTGTTCTTTCACACAGACTTCTCAGTGCATGCCGTCTGATTGGCTCTGCCCTGCGTTTCTGATTACACCCTTGTCTTCCAGTTAGAGTGCTTTAGCCACTTTCCACCTTCCCTGATCTTCTGCCCAGGCCCACCCACCTCACACTGCTCATCCTCTGTCAGGGCTTTCTGAAAACCCCAGCTGAACTCCCTCTTTCTTGTGAATTCCTGCAACACTGATTCTGTCTTCCCTTTAGTTACAAAAATTACCACCTGGTAATAAGCATTTCTACTATTTTTGCCTCTAACAGTTGTTTAATGATTCACCTAGTGACCTTGTCACCCCAACAAAATTATCTCCATAAGAGGAGAGACCTTGCCTGGTTTGTAGTATTGTTTCTGTTATAATGCCTAAGAATAGATACTCAGTAGGCAATAATAAAAGAGCCCTGGTAGTACAGAGGTTAAGCACTTGGCTGCTAACTGAAAGGTCAGTGGTTTGAACCCACCAGCAGCTCCATGGAGATCTGTTCCTTTAAATTTACAGTCTAGGAAACCCTATGTGGTCTACTGTGTCCTATAGGATCATTATGAGTAGGCATCAACTCAATAGCACATAACAACCACAGACAGTGGTGGTGACTGCCTGGTACTGAGGATGCTATTCCACACTCAATGACAATGTACTTCTTTGGGCTCCAAGGTTTTGAAGTATTAAAGACCCAAAGCTAATGAAGCCCCTGTATTAGATTACAGAAAAGTTTGCAGTAGTTCGGCATAGAGCATATTTAGAAGGCTCGTACCTCCAAATTCTGCATCACATATCTTAGTATGTTTATGCTTGTAAACACTTCAGTTTTTGAAATGCATCCAAAACGTTCTCACTTTCAGTGAGTGTATATGCCAGAAGAGGTGCTGGACCCTCTCTGTTAGCTTTTCTGACTATGAATTCCATTTACACACACCCTTCAACACTGCTGGTTCCTCCCAAGTCATTCCTCACAAGAGTCTCTGCTCACATGTCAGTTTTGTTGTCACAAAGATGTATGTTTTATAGACCAATTTAACTCATTTTCCAAGAAGTAATATGAGAAAATGTGGTTCCCATATGTCCTGGCGAATGATATGTCAGCCTTGCCTGATGGCAGGCTTCTCTCATCTGTCCCCTTAAGACAGCTGCTCCATGAGGGAAATGGGGAATACTAGGGACATTCTTAGTAACACTTGGGTTATTCATCCCTTGAGAATTTTTCATTCTGTACATATAAATTATAGCTAAGCAACAAGACAAACAATGTCTCACACCTCAACCCCGTGCCCGAGGGCATCTGGCACTCCAATCCATATAAGATAATGGGCATTGATAAGAGTGACATCATGGGAGACAGGAAAAAGCCATACCCCTTGTATAAACCTAAATGATACAGGGCACAGCCTCAGTCCCCAGGGAAAGAGAGTGATTATACAACCCTGGGATCTGATTCCTTTATGTGGTCCTGATTTTCCCCACCCTAAAAACTCATTGGACAGACTGAGCTCAGTGGGTGAAGCCAGAAATCAATTCTCTTTCTCCTTAGAGGAAATCTTGGGAACATTACAGGATAACAAAGATGGGGGCAGAATGGTCCATGAGATAAGCCTGGTCAGTTTAAGTGTGTATTGTCCATGTTGCCATAGATACAGAAGGATCAAAGAGTGTTTGACCCCATAAGATCAATACAGCAAGCATGTTTTGGGTAATTCTGTCATGTGTTGTAGACAATGTAAAGGGAATAAGACATGGTTTTGTCCTCATTTTATACACACACACACACACACACATATACATATATACACACACATATATGCACTTAGGGAGAGAACAAAGAGAAGTTTTTTTAACCATTAAACCATTATGATTGAGGAAGAGACAATGTCATGAATTCAATTATTCCCCAAAAAGAGAGAAAAAAATCAATAAAAGTACTTTAATCTCTGTAAGCTTCCAGTGAGTGGGAGGAACAAATCCAGAAAGAAAACTGATTGGTTTATTTTTGCATTTCTACATTTTTAGATCATGACAATGCCCTACCAAAGAAATCCTAATTTCAAATGTTTAATAATTTTGTACTCTTTGATGTTCTCTTTCTTTCCAACTTGCTTTCACTGTCTTTAATTTCAAAAATATTTCATGAGTGACAACTATGCTCTGGGCCATGACATGACAGAGAATGTGTTGGAAACATAGCTCTTTTTCCCTTGGAGTTCATGGTCTAGTGTGGAATTTGAAAAAATAACTCACAGTTGTAATATAGCCATAGGTCACTAAGAGGGAAACAAAAGAGGATAGACAAGCCCACCATGAGGAACCTGTAACCCAGACTTGGGTGTTGGGAAGGCTGCTTCAAGAGGGATATTTCCTCTGATACCATTTTGTATGTACTCATGAAGGATGAATGAATGAGTGTAATCTAAGCAGATAAGAGGTGGGAGGTGAGGTTATCAGTAGGGAGAAAACAGAAAGAAAACCATGTGTGAAAGGCCCAGAGGAGAGAAAGAGCTTTCTAAGAACTAAAAGATCAGCATGCCTGTAGATGGTCAAGAGATGAAGCTGACAGATGGCCAAGGTCAGCTCAAACAGAGCACTGACAATCTGTTAAAGAGTTTGAACATTACCTTAAGAGCAATGTATAGTCATTAAAATGCTCTTAGCAGAAGATTGATGTCATCAGTGGGAAGCCTACTTATAAGATGGGGCAAGTTATCCAGGTGAGAGATAATGGCTTTGGGAACTAGAATAGTGGTAGGGTGGGTGGACAGAAATGAACAGGTCAAAAGATATTTGTTGATTATTTGTATATAGCAGGTGAAGAGATTGTGGCAAATGGGAGGGTAATGATGCCATTGATGACAGAAGGAGAAATGAGGAAGGTCTAGTGTGGTTCTGGATGTGTAAAGTTGGAGATGCCTGTGTTTCCTCTAAGTAGAAATATATAAAAGTAATTGAGCACACAGTGTCAAGGACAAAACAAGACCTGGACTTCATGAGATTTCATCATCTAGATCTAGACCTGTGTATGTTTGTGTTTGAATGTTACAACTCTGTGTGTTTAAGTGCTATGAGACCATACTGTCAGGAAGTGGTCTTTAAAACAATAAATAAATCAATAAATAACGCCAACCAAATCTCTTCTTCTGGCCTTTCAGCAGGATTTCCACCTGCTATCCCTGTTCTGTGGGATAATCCCTAACAGTTAGCCTTGGAGACTTGATATGAAAAGGAAAGACTTGTTTGTATGGTATCGTAAGTCTGTGGACTCACTTGCAAAATTACCCACTGTGCTTTCTTGGCAGGTTTCGGAGCCTAACCACTGCGTTTTTCAGAGATGCCATGGGCTTCTTGTTAATGTTTGACCTCACCAGTCAACAGAGCTTCTTAAATGTCAGAAACTGGATGAGTAAGTTGTACTGAGGCATTTAAGTTGACCCTTTTAGGGCTCAAGAGCTACAAACACACATTGGAACTCAACACTACATTTGCTGGTTTGCCTTACAAGACATGGCCAGAGTAGCCATCATAGACTAGCTTTAGGGAGCCATGAGTTTTTCCTACATTGCCTTCAAAGTGGTGGCCTTTATCTGGATCACCCAAGGTGGCTTGGAATTGTATACTCCTTTGGTGCACTTTTAGGAGCTCTCATGGCACAATGGTTAAAGCATTTGGCTATTAACCCAAAGATTAGCTGTTCGAACCCACCAGCTGCTCTATGGAAGAAAGATGAGGCAATCTTCTTCCATAAAGATTGGCAGCCTTGGAAACTTTATGGGACAGTTCTACTTTGTCCTATAAGGGCATTATGAGTTGGAATTGACTGGATGGCAGTGGGTTTGGTTTTGGTTTTGATAACTTTTTAAGAAGAGTTAATTGGCACCTATATTGGAGGTCTTTGTTATTGTGATAGAAAGGCCACCAAGCCACTCCTTGGAAGGAAGATTGGGCAATCTACCTCCATAGTGATACTGACTCGGAAACCCAAGGAGGGGTCACTTTGAGTCAGATCTGACTCTGCGGCAGTGAGTTTAGTTTTTTATTTTTTGGTAGTAAGTGTTGAAGGATGCCTTATGACTGACTGAGCTACAACATCCACTACATCTGTTCTCAAAAAGCCACAGAAAAAACATAGTGTTTCCTGACCAGCTATACTTTAAACCTGAAATGCATGCAAGAACTAATGGGTTAATCAGGCATTAGTTAATTAGTAGTTAATGGATTCATAATACAGTAGTTTCATCTTTTCCATGGGGAATAACTTCCAAGACTCCAGTGGGTGTCTGAAACCATGAAGAGTATTGAACCCTGCATAGACTATGTTTTTTCCTATACATATGTACATACAACGGGTACCGTGTGCCCTGGCAGGCAGCTTTAACCCGTAGGTGCTGGAAGGACACAGAGCAGCCACTCACTGAGCTGTGTTTTTCAGGCTCACATCCAGTGGAAGAGGAGGAAGTCAGCTCCTGGGTGGAGCTGGACTTCATGAGATTTCATCATGCTACTCAGAATGGTGTGCAATTTAAGTATTTTCAGACCACGGTTGACCGTGGGTAACTGAAATAGCAGAATGTGAAACCACTGATAAGGGGGGACTACTGTAATTAATTATTAGTTAATCAATTACTCCAGAGAAAAGCACTGGCATGAAGATAAGCACAGTGTGCCAGTCAGTCAGCTCAGATTGGAATTTTACTTTTAAAACATTGTTCAAATACAAGGGGAACTTGTATGGAATAATCTTTAGCCTCCATGGTAACTTAGACATGATATTGTTGTTGTTATTGTTGTTATGTGCTGTCGAATTGGCCCCGACTCATAGCGACCCCTCCTTGGGTTTCCGAGGCAGTATCACCATGGAAGTAGATTGCCCACCTTCCTTCCGAGGAGTGGCTGGTGGGTTTGAACCACCAGACTTCTGGTTAGCAGACATGATATGGAGCTAAAATATTGCCCAATGAATTATTAAAGCCAATTAAGAGACTTACACATATGAGAGTAGCATATTGTATAATTTTTCCTTTCTTTTTTTACTTTATGTAGCACTGAGGAAGGGGCTCTGGTAGTACAGTGACTAAGGCATCTGACTGCTAACCAGAAGGTTGGTGGTTCAAACCCACCAGCCCACTCTGTGGAAACAAGACTGGGCAATCTATTTCTGTAAAGATTTACCAACTTGGAAACCCAGTGGGGATAGTTATGAGTCGGAATCAACTCGATGGCAGTGGATTTCTTTTTTTTTTGGTAGGACTAAAGAGAATATTTCATTTCTTTTTCTATTATCAGTAAGAATTTTGATCCTAATGGGCTAGACAAGTAACAGGACAGATTACTTGTTCTACAAGAACGGTGCTGCTACTCCTATCATTTCTGGATGTGTTGGGCAGTCTATGACTAGCTATGATCCGTTTATTAAATTTGGATCATGTTATTCCCCTGCTCAAAATCTTTGTGTGACTTCTCATGTCACTCAGGATAAAAGCCAAAGTCCTTCCCCAGCTCTGACACCCTGTGAGGGCAGACCCTGGGCATCCTCTCAGGTCCCTGTTCTCACTCTGACTGATGCACTGGGATCCAGCCCCACAGGTCTCATGCTCCTTGACCTGATGCACATTTCTGCTGTGGGCCCTTGCACTTCCCATCCCTCAGCCTTGATTGCTCTTCTCCAATTTATAGTTATGTTCCAGTTCCTTCATTTCCTTCAGTTGTTCAGTCAAACCTTATCCCTTCAGTGATGTTGTCCCTGACCACCCATCTCCATCACTAGCATTCTCCATCATTTTCAATCCCCCCAACAAATGGGCATTTGCTGCCACTTGATATTGACTCTTCTACCACTAGAATGTGAACTCTATGAGAGCACAGACTATCTATTTTGATTTTTGCCATAACCTAGACTTGAAGGGTGCCTGGTGCAAAGTAGGTGCTCCAAAAAGACATAGTTCTTATTAATATGTGTTCATTATTATTTTAGATTATTTTATATACATATATATGTTTATCTATATTTATACACACACACGCACTCACGTTGCTTTCAATGAGTTCAATATGAGTCTACAAAACTGCTTCCAAGGTAAGTTCAATAGCACAACTGCTACCAGTAAGGGGAAATAATGAATACATTCTGACCTTCTTAACACTTCTTCACTGAGTGTTTATCCTAGGCTCTGTCTTTATTCCCGATTATTATTACAATTCCTTATCCACGTTTTGGTGGTATTACTACATTCTTAAGGATTAGAAATTTCAGAGAATGACTCATTTATCCTTTTTCAAGGCAAACGAGACTCTCCCTTGTTTTTTAAAAATCTCCAGGATATTGGTGGGATTTAAGATAATTAACTGTGATTAATAATAATGATCCCATTCCTACCACCCAGACCATCAAAGGAAAATCCTTTGTCTTCTTCCTCTGGCTCAAGCAAGATACCACACAACGTGCCTTGAGACCTGCCATTGAAACAGCCCTCTATAATCATAGAATCATAGCTTCCCAGGTTCTTTTTTGTCCCCCTTTCTGCTTTCTCTCTTCTTTCTTGATTTCCTTTTTATTATTATTATTATTTTTTAATATCTTCCTCTCTCTTCTTTCTTTCCTCTTTTGAATATTATTTTTTGAAGAAAAGGAAAAAACAGATTACTGGTGTATTAAAATGGTTTCTCCATGAATTTGTAGTGGTTCAAAATTTTCTGCTCTTTTAAAATCATCACTTTGGATTCTGGGAGAGAAAAATGTGTCATCCTTCTAAAACAGAAAACATACAGACTTCAAATCATAGTCTATTATCTCCACTTACATTTGAGGAGCAAATGGTCTGAAGCAGTATGTTCTCAAAAGGCATGATAGTTGCTTCATAGAGATATTATTTCTAATCTTCACAGTCTGCAATTTGTGAGGCATTATCTTCATTTTAAGGAGCTCTGCTGGGGTAGTGGTTAAGGCATTTGACTGCTAACCAAAAGGTTGGTGTTTCAAACCCACCAGCCACTCCGTGGAAAACAGGTAAGGTATTCTGCTTCTATAAAGATTTGCAACCTCGGAAACTCAGTGGCGGTCACCATGAGTTGGAATCAGCTCAATGATAGTGAGTTTGTTTTTTGGTTTTATCTCAGTTTTACAGATGAAGAAACAGAGGTTGAGGAACGTTAAGTAACTGGGCTAATTGAACATAACTAGTAGGCAGCCAAATTGGAGATGGAAAAATAAGATGAGGACTCTGTAGTCTAAGCAGTCATTTGACATGACCTGTGTATAATGAACAGGCTGGTTCCACATGCTTTCTTCCCAAGGCCAACTGCAAGCAAATGCTTATTGCGAAAATCCAGATATAGTATTAATTGGCAACAAAGCAGACCTGCCAGACCAGAGGGAGGTCAACGAACGGCAAGCCCAAGACCTGGCAGAAAAATACGGGTAGGTTGGTTACGTCGAAAGGTCATCTGACCTTGCAAATGGCTTATTAACTGAAGGAGCAGAAATCCAACATTTATCCTAGGAGGGATCTTCTTGAATCAAGAATAGCAGATGAATTAAAACAATCTTCCAGAAGAACATATATATGTCGATTGGATTACTTAATAATAGCAGCTAACACTTATTGAATATTTATTATATGCTAGGTAGGGTTTCAAACTGGTTCTTCCCAGGTTGGTCATGGCCAATGAAGTAAAACTGGAATGGACCCAAATATGTAAAATGTAAGTAAGCAAGAACAATAACTGGAACAGAAAAAGTAACAGGATAAAGACCTGCTCAAAACTTAACCTCCCTGTTAGAAAAGAAGGGTAGTACATGCACTGCATGGCAATCACTGACAGGACCAGGCAGAAACAGTGGTTCCTGGCTCAAAGATGGGGGCTGACCATGCTCCTTTGTGTATGACTCATCACAGTCCTGGCAATAATCCAGTCTCCTGCATCAGGCTTCTGAAGGGGTTCACTATGCCTCTTCCCAGTCTCCCATTCCAGAGCTTCAACCTATAGTTTTTCCTTCTGGTTACCATACCACTTCACCAAAATTAAAAAAACAATTCTGATTTCACTTCATCAGCTATGACTGACTGAACCAGGTGAAGCCTTGATGCTATGAACTGTTTTAAGATTAACTGATTTTACTCTCATGCAACTATATGGGAGATCCTAGAGTTACTCCATTTTACATACGAATACCTGAGTCACATAGAGATTAAATAACTAATGGAAAGCCACGCAGCTCCTACTGTTGGGCCTTTAATTCAACGGGTCAGTCTGAGGTCAGACCTCATGCTCTTAAACACCATACTCTACTACTGCCTCTCAATTAAGCTGGAAGACTCCAAAGATTGACACCTGACAGGGACATAACATTGCAATCTTTATTCTAGCTGTGATTGAATGCCAGCTAAAATAAAGTGAAAAATAAACAAAAAACTCATGCAATATTTGAAACACACTTTTACTAACATTCGTTGTTCATCTGAAATTCAAATTTAACTTGGATAATGTGTATTTTTATTCACTAAATCTAGCAACCCTGTCCTTAGCACATTTATATGTATGTCTGTATTTTAATATAATATTTCCCTTCAAAGAATTAGAAAATATAGAAAAGCCTGCAGAAGAAATGAATAGAATGGGGTAGTGATCTTTGGTCTGTTTTGAATAATAAGATGCCTAGACATGAAAGAAGTCTTCAGAACTGTGACTTACCCCATCTTGTCAAGCACAGCTGAGCCATGTTTCTTTTCTCTTTCCTAGTGGCCCTACCCTCACTCTGTCACCCCAAGGTCATCACCAAGTTTTCCCTCCTTTCAGATTATATCCTACCAACAACACACACAGCATTTTTAAGTCAGGAAGCTCAAAGAACTGTGGCTAGAGAGCCCTTCAAGTTTGCACTGGCTCTCTCTAGGGGCACAGTGAGCTTTCAGTCACTATTAACATAAAATTAAGATTTACAAGAAGTAAAAATAATTTGAGATTTGTCTTCTTCAATTTCTTAGGAACCTTCAGTCAATGTAAGTCATTTGTAGATTGACTTCCAAAGCAGAATTGGTCATTCTGTTTTAAATTTAAAGCAGTTTCATCAGATCTGCCAAGTTTTTACTGAAAGATTCTCCTGAGAATTTTAAAAATTTGTATGTTCTCTTGTATTATTTTGGAAGGAAGATTAGGCAATCTACTTCCATAATGATACTGCCTGGGAAACCCAAAGAGGGGTTGCAATGAGTTGGATATGACTCAACGGTAATGAGTTTTTGTTTGGTTCTTCCATTATTATTCCAAACACATAGAGACAATATTCACATGAATATCCTATTCAATGCATGCCTAATTTCTAGAAATTATACTTCAAGATAGTTGATTAGAAGGTTGTCAAATTTTAATGGTAATATTGGTCATTACTTAGGTATTTCTTACCTCTTAATTTTTTAAACAGTTATGCATGGGCTTCAAGTTCCTGAGTACATCGTGTCTCAGCTTCTTTGTCCATAAAACAGTTATAACTATACCAAAGGGCAGCCCACCTGTTTTTGCTCATTGGTGGGTGGGGGTGGAGGATGCTTTGCAATTTAGCAAGAAAACTATGATGATTTCCCAGTCTCTCCTCCAGCCATGGTTTTGTATGTGAGACTCATTTGTACATCTGCTTATATCTTTTTCTGATTTCTTACCTATCGTATTTTCTATGCTAGCATACCCTACTTTGAAACAAGTGCAGCAACTGGACAGAATGTGGAGAAAGCTGTGGAGACCCTTCTGGACTTAATAATGAAACGAATGGAACAGTGTGTAGAGAAGACACAAGTCCCCGACACTGCCAATGGAGGGAACTCCGGAAAACTAGATGGGGAGAAGCCAGCAGAGAAAAAATGTGCCTGCTAGACTCTACATGTGAACTGACAATCAAGAGCCCCACCCAAATATTACTTCCACAACAAATGACCAACCACGAAATTGTTGTTGAGTAGACCATGCACAAAGGCATGTCTTTCTTTTTCTGCCAGAAAATCTACTTTAAGAAACTACAGTAGTCAACAGCGTGCAAATGAATTAAACAGTTTTCCCTGAGGCCCCTCCAGACAAGATCAAAGATTCCCTAATGATGTCTCACCATCATGGATGCTAAATGTGTTTTTCTTACAAAGATGAATATATAAGATAGTGTACAAGCATATATTAATGAGATTTAAGTCAACAAATTTGCACTGCCATATTGAGGAAAGGGAGAGGCTACTAAAAGAAAACATAGAAAGATTATTATTGTTATTATTAAGATTGGGTATTCTTCCTACATAGACTCTGATTCATACATTTAGGTTTCCATTATATTAGTTAAAAATAGACAATGAAGAATTCTGTGTCGTTCATTAAGAATGTCATTACAACTAATAAGCTGTGCTTGAATGACTAAATTACTCATAAGGTTATGAGAGGATGAATGTCAGTCAATTCTGCTAAAATGTGCAGGAGTGTGTAATAATGCCATTTTTATATTCTTAGTAAATAGCAGGTAGATAAGAGCAGAACTGTGAAGGACCAAGTACAAGAGAAATGACTTGGCAGAAAAAATGCAAATATGGGAACATGGCACTGGACCCCTGAAATGAAATGCATCTTTTCCAGATGTCTGAGAGAATTATTTAGCCAAATTTTACTCACGCTAATTAGAAGCTGACATTATCAGTTGGGAGTAAGAGAATTACCAGAGGTTTTCATTTCAAACAAACTTTTAGCAATTGGTTCACTATTCTGCATCACATTTCATTTTTTTTTTTTTTTCTCAGCAGATGTTGATAAGTTATCACAAGGAGAAATTAAAGATTGCTGTTTTTTAAATATTTCTTTCAAAAACTAGCCTTAATCATTTTTATTTTAGTTAAGATATTCTGGAATTCCTTGAAACAGCACATGATTATTAATTGTGGGTTTCTTTTTAATTGATAAGAACATTGGAAACCCTAAGTCACATTCCTTTCCTCCAACACACCCAGACCTCTGACTTTGAATAAATTTTAGAAAAACAGATGTTATTAATTAAAATTTTGTAGATCAACAATTTCAGAGTCATGGTGGATCAATATTATGGCCACTGAATTTTCATGTCACTCATCACTACAAATTGGTGATGTTGTTGTTGTTATGTGCCATCGAGTCGGCCCCGACTCATAGCGACGACCCCTTGGGTTTCCTAGGTGGTATCACTACAGAAGTAGATTGCCCACTTGGTGATACCTCATCCTATACTGTAGTACTTTAGCTTAAAAACAAATTGCCTATTAATGTCAAAATCTGCATGGTTTAGCAAATTTCAGGATTGGGTATGCATGGAACTGTCTCTTATATCACCAAAAATTTGATTAATTGCTTTATTTTTCACATTTCTCAAAAATGGTCACAAAACTATTTTCCACTGGCCTATTTTTATTACTGCATCTGAACTAATATTATCTTTTGATCTTAGTTTATGATAAACGTAGCTGTTCCTAGCAAACTAATTATTATATAAGTATTTTAGTCACTTTTATCAATAACTTATGACTCATTTATTCTAACAAAGGCAAGGCACTCCAAGTTTTCTATCTTCTTTATGAAGATATGATTCTCACTCAACTGAATGGCTCCTCTTCTATATGATTTTGCCATAGAAACCTCATATTTCCATACCGTGTGCATATTTTTTTCTTTCTTTTTTTTTTTTTTTTGTTAAATTACAAAAGCATGGGAAACCCTAAATCCCAGTCCCCCTTTCAGCTCTGTACCAAGTTCCACCTGGCTTTGAATCAAACACAGACAAATCCAAGGAAATGTCTTTTTGTCATGTTCTTAGGATGGAATAGACCCAGAAATGTGTCATGAATAACAGCAATTTGGAGGCTAGAATGGGGTTAGCCTTGTGAAGTCCTCAGTATTAACTCCCTCATTTCTCTGCTCTCTGTAGCACTGTGCCAGTCTCTGAAATTGATCATAGTTGGATATCTCTCCATTGATATTTTCTCTAGGATACTCTTCCTGATATCAACGTGCCATGAAGATAGAAAGCTATTAGCTAACAGTTAAGACATTTCTTCTAGAAGGAAAGTGAACTGAAGCAATATAACCATTGCTGTCGCAAAATGGGGTGAACTTTTGTGATCGTTTTAGCAAGTTCTTTTTTGGGATTCAAATTGTGACATCCACTGCATTTCCATAGGGAATGTTTGGCCTTTATAAAACCGTAAAGGTATTCTATTTTTGATATATCTTTTTGTGTTCTTTCATTTCTCAGCTCTATGATTGATTACTTTTGCCAAGATTCTGTCATTGTCAGTTCTTCACAAGCATTTATTGAAGATCTATTTTAAGATGATGTTATTTGATATCTGTAGCATGAAGCCGAGGGTGGTGATGCCCATAATTATAGAACTGTGTCTGTAAAAAGAATGATTGAGTAATAATCTCAAGAGGAACGATATTTAATACAGACAAGAAAGTTAATTTTAAAACATCATTCTATTTGTAAATAAAATACTTGATGTAAAAATTGCTCTCTATGAAGTTTGACATCTGATTCCAAATTCTATGTAACCATTACTAACAATACCTTCTCTCATTATTTCAAAATCAATAGTTTTGTATAATTCATTTTACAATTTCAGATTCCTCTGGTGCCATGAAGTATACAGACTGCTTTAAAGAACTGTAGACTCCTTTTAGCCTACAATATCATGTACTTTTGCCCAAAACGTGTCCTGTTACTGCTTATCTCCCAAACGCTTTAGTAAATCATACTGTATGTTGGCAAAATACCTAAAATGTACATGAAACTCCTTTTGGGGTATGGGAACCATGTCTGCAGTGCTTACACTGGTTTGATGTTTACATTACTCTAACACAGTGCCTCTGATACCTCTGTAACTGAATTTATCCCCACTCATACAGCTCATTTTCTATAATGTTCAATGCTATGAAAGCCACATAGAGACACTAACCAGGCTGAAGGTCTTCTGATGTCTTCAACAAAGCATACAGGAACTTTATTGGAATCTGTAGACTGTGACCACCAATGGTCTCCTAGCTCACTTCTCATGGACTAGGCATTTCTTGAGGTCTTAACTGTAATTAGGTACATGGTTAGCTTTTAATGTTAAAAGGAAAATCCTGGAAAAAAACAGCCAAGAACATAGTTTGTCTTGGCTTGATGATGGTAACAAGTCATAACATGGCAGAGAAATGCTAAATATGGGTATCTATTACCACTCTCGGAGCTCTGGTGGCGTAGTACCTAAGGCATGTGACTGCTAACCAGAAGGCTGGCAATTCAAACCCACCAGCCACTCCTCGGAAGGAAGGTTGGGCAATCTACTTCCATAGTGATATCACCTTGGAAACCCAAGAAGGGGTCGCTATGAGATGGGTCCGACTGGAGGACACTATGCTTTGTGTGCTATTACCACTCTGGGCACAGTGCTATCATTGCCATATCATCAGCTATCATGTTGCAAAAAAAAAAAAAATTTAAAAACCAGCACTTTCTAAAGTAAATATTGTGTCTGTTGTTTTTGACTAGAGGGGCCATTCTATGTATCAATAGATGTCTTTGTTCTGTTTCTAGTTTGTTATTCTTAGCCAACCTGTACAGGTAAGATGAGCCAGGCTAAAGTTTTTACCATCCTTTCCCTATCTCCTTTATAAGTGCAGAAGCTTGACCATAGAGAATGACATGATTACAGCAAAGACCAATTCAATAATAGCCAAAATATATTTTAAACTGTAAATTGAGTCTACCGGGAATCAACAAATTTGATGAAGTCCATATATATCCTCACAGGTGGAAGTGGAATGAGTGCAGCACTTAGAAAGAAAGGCAATAGTTGTGCAGTAACTCCAGTGTCCAATTAGGTATAGTATAAAACCTGCACTCCTGAGTATCAATATTCTGTGCCATAGAACAATACAATTCTCTGTTCACTTACAAAGGGGGACACTTCCTCTCCCCATTGTACACTGCATTAAACATTGGAGGAGAAACCTTTAGATTGTGAGGTTACAATCTAAAATTCAAGCTACAAAAAAACAAAACAAAAACAAATAAACCAACCACACTTCAGGTCTCTGGTTTCCTTAGATATTCAATTACTCTTTAAAAGAGCAGATGTTAATCAAATTATACAAAAATTTTCTTTCACCCTCTAGTACTAAGCTTTAAAGTGTTAACGGAAAGCTTTATCGTTTGTAAAGATGCCAAGATGTTGTCTACATTTAAACAGGTTGTGTAGAAGTTCAGCATAAATTATATTTTCTTCTTGACCTTCAACCAAGATGATGTTAAGCTGATTTCTGGGGAGAATATTAAGCTATCTCTTAAGTATGGAAAATGGATGTAGAATATTCTCTGAGATGAGTGTTGTCTCAATGCTTTATAAAATGATGTTGTTTGTCCCATAAAGTAGAACTAATGAAAATTATTAGATATTTAGGGGATATTACAAACTTCCTGCCTTGAATTTTTGTGTGGAGACCAAACAATAATGACATTGTTTTCCAAGAACTAGAGTGATGAGTTAAAATTATCTAACTAGTGCTCTTAAGTATGGTAGAACATGGAGAAGGCCCTATTTAAATCTTCTGAAAGGTTAAGTTTTTCAATAAGCAAAGGTAAGGCTTAGTAACCAACAGAATTTTTGTAATTGAATCTGTGGCAAATATTTGTCCATCATCTTTTTTAACTAAGCAGAACTCTCTGCCCCTAGAGCCAAGCTAATAAAAATATTTGAAGATCAAGGTTTATTAATGGCATCAAAATCTGGGAGGCTTAGGAATATTTTGTTTATTATATATGAATCTCATTTTCTCATAAATCGCACCTTGATTGAATTTTCAAGGAATAGAATCCCAAAGGTGTTTTTTTCTGTGGAGTTCTTTGTACTAACATACTATGGGTGAAGTATTTTCTAAATTTCCACATGGAAAGATCGTTATTATTATATTTTGAATGGTTGGACTATGTAAAATGGTCACATCTTCTGCACAATCTATATCTACACACACACACACCTTCAATCTTTTCTCCATTTATGAAGAGTCATCTGTTAATTGAGTGATTTAAAATTGGTTTCCTGGCCCCTTTCCTTACTAACAAATTGTGGAAGGCAACTAACTTAACTTTGAAGGATCATTAACAAATTCTGG